GTGGGTGACCGAAGCTTTATAAAGACCTTGATTCCATTGGTGTCGTGGTATGCCAAGGATGCAGTCGAAGTTTCGGCTTACAATTCCTCATTGCATGCCAACTTGAAGAAGAACTTTGAGATGCGATACTCGGGCTGCAAGATCGTTGACTTCAAAAGGACACCGCTCGAGGTTCGTAGTCTAGGACGAGATTACTACTATGATTTGAGTATGGGAAGCAAGCTGTTGTCCTACGACTTTGCCTGGGCTGGCAGCAAGAATCGTGGCTTTGCCGAGGAATTTGAGCGCGCCAACATCAATCTGTCTCTTGTTGAGGCGCAGGTGGTAAGTTTTCTTCCGTTCATCGCAAATGAGTTCATTTTCTAATTCAAAACAGAGCCTTCTCCATAGCTGGAAGTTCTTCGCTATCGAGCACTGTGCCGATTTCATGCCCGATACCGAAGTCCGAAAGTCAATGGCACTGGTCGCACAAAGTTGTCTGAAGGCCAATGTTAGCGGTGGCCCTCCCGAGGCCATCTTTGACCGAATCCAACAAGCGCGCGTTGATTTCGCTCAGGCACTACTCCAGCGGCTTGTCGAGGTACACGCTAGAGGTGCCGAAGTCTTCCAGCTGCTCGAGATTACGTGGACGGCACTGCGAGCCCGGCATCTGACATACGAAGATGCTTTGATCAATGACGATACCGATTACTTCCGGTCCCTCTTGAACGTGCTATTCCTTTCCCTTCAATTCCACTTGGATGGCCCCTCTCGGAGTGCCCCCGAGGCCATCAATAAGAAGGCTGAAGTTTCTTCGGATCTGACTGTCATCGTGGAGGTCGTGAAAACAGTGGTGGCCCAGGGCTTCAAATCTCTCACCACCTATCTCCACGACGCGCCGGAGAAATGCGCACCGAAAGATTTCGCCATTATCATTGCTATCCTGCAGACAGCGTTGCAAGTGAAAAACGCCGATCGCCTCTATGAGCATATCGTGTACCACATTGAGGAAAACGACACCGCTCGTCACGCGACGACCCTCTTCTCCTGGGCCGACCAATTAGCCGTGGCAGGCGACCCTGTGTACGCAGAGCTTAGCATCTCGATCCTGGTCAAGATGTCAAGCCTGCCCATGCTCGCAGAGCACCTTGCTGTGGAGGCTGTCTTGATGAAATTGTCCACCTGCCGTCTCACAAACATTCTCACCCAAAAGAAAGCATTCGGCGCCTTTGATCCCGTTCCTCGACTGTACGCCATCTGGACTGGAGGATTCCTTCCTCTGTGTCTGAACCTGCTCTACAGTGTCATGCGGACCGCGCCCGAGGTGGCAGCATTCATCAACCAATTCGAGTCCCGTCTGACCCGCGCGACAGAGGCATTCGCCAGCCATACGGCCGTTTCCTCCGTTCCAACACACAAGTGGATCAGCCTCAGCATGGTCTCCGAGGCCTACTCGCTTGCCCTGATCTCGTTCATCCTAGACCAGTTCCGTGAGGCGGGTGCCAGTGCTGGAGTGGACGCACAAGCCATCCAAGATCTCAAATGGGATCGCGTGCAGGTCAAGGAAGATATTGAGGAGCTGCTCGGTCGCCGCGCTGCTCTGCGGGCGCGCATTGTCGCGACCAATGAGAAGGAGGTGGAATGGTCCCGACAGAAGCCTCTTGATCCGACTTCTGGGGCCGAGAATCGACTGGAGGAGAAGATGGTTAGTGAGATGAAGGCTGCTGTTGCCTGTTTGGGTGGTGAGGATTCATGAATGTATTCTTTATAGCCTTTTTTGCTATTTCTCTTTGTTTTTTTTTCCCGTGTATTCTGGGTTGGTCGGGGTGTAGTAGATGGATTATTTCATGAAGCTTCAGTTTCAAAACAATTACATTATTTCCAGTTCTTTATGCTTTGGGGGTTCGTAGTAGGTATGGCCTATCAACTTCAAGTCTGGTATCACATACTTGGGGCATCGTCCACATAAACCATTCAGTTAATAGCCTATATGAAGCACACTAGTTCCACTCCGTCTTACCCTGTTCATACAGTGAAGACCGAGGCTTCGGCTCAACTTCCCCGCAAAACATACACTTTCCCCCGTATAACCGATGCGGGGAGATGAACTAATTATGAACGGAGTTTGTGCATTAGGACTATATACTATATAAACTCCTGGCTTATATGAAGCCCTCATGTTCCTACAAGTCCTTCCGCTTTATCCATGCTATTGAAACATTACCTGTTATATTCCCAACATGCCGTATAAATCCCGCTGGACAATCGACATCCCCGACACCCATTTAGCCTCTCTTCTCCTCCAATCGCCCACAGCACCTCTCTCCAAAGCACACCGGTGCTACGTGGAAGCAGCCCGCCCAGAAACCCACTACCTCACCACCCATGATCTCCGCCTCTGGAGCCAGCGGCTCGCCGCCGGTCTACGCAAATCCGGATTGCAGACAGGAGACCGCGTCCTCCTCTTCTCGGGCAATGATCTCTTCTTCCCCGTAGTCTTCATGGGCGTGATCATGGCCGGGGGAATCTTCACCGGCGCAAATCCAACCTACGTAGCCCGCGAACTCGCCTACCAACTCCAAGACAGCGACGCCACATACCTCCTCTGCGCAAGCAACAGTCTAGAAACAGGTCTCGAAGCAGCCAAGCAAGCCAATCTACCGCACACCCGCATCTTCGCCTTCGACAACTCCATCTACGATGGCATCACAAGCTCCCCCCAGGGCTGCGCGTACTGGGGCGACCTCCTCGCCTCGGAAGAAGAAGGTCGCGCATTCAGCTGGGACGAACTAAACACACCGACCCTCTCATCCCGGACCCTGGCACTCAATTACTCCAGCGGCACAACCGGCCGACCCAAAGGCGTCGAGATCTCACACAAGAACTACGTCGCCAATATGCTCCAGTATTGCCACACCGCAAGTCTTCATCCGGACTACAAGGCCCGCCTCGAGCGTTCCAGATGGCTATGTTTCCTGCCCATGTACCATGCGATGGCGCAGAATATCTTCATTGCAGCTGCGCTGTACCGCGCGACGCCGGTGTATCTCATGCCCAAGTTTGATTTTATCAAGATGTTGGAGTATACGCAGAAATTCCGGATTACGGATTTGATTCTCGTTCCGCCTGTCGTGGTTGCGTTGGCGAAACATCCTGCCGTTAAGAATTATGATTTGAGTAGTGTGGAGTTGATTGGGAGTGGTGCTGCACCGTTGGGGAGGGAGGTTTGTGAGGAGGTTGAGAAGTTGTGGCCTCTTGGGAAGATTAATATTAAGCAGGGATGGGGGATGACTGAGTGAGTTTTTTTTTTTTTTTTTTTTATTGTTGGAAATTAACATTTCTAGGGCGACTTGTTCGGTGACGGGATGGGTTCCTACGGAAATCAGTACTTCTGCGTCCGTTGGTGAGCTCAATGCCAATTGCGAGGCGAAGATTATGGTCGATGGGAAAGAGGTGGAGAGGAATTCTCGTGGCGAGCTGTGGATTCGGGCTCCGAATGTCATGAAAGGCTACTGGCGCAATGAAAAGGCCACTAAAGAGACCAAGACTGAAGATGGCTGGCTGCTCACGGGTGATATTGCGTTTGTGGATGATCATGATAAATTCCATGTTGTGGATCGAATGAAGGTATTTATTTTCAGGAAAAAAAAAAGAAAGAAACTAATGTGAATAGGAATTAATCAAAGTCAAGGGAAACCAAGTGGCGCCCGCCGAATTGGAGGCTCTTTTACTTGAACATCCGGCGATCTCAGATGTTGCAGTGATCGGAGTTGTCAGGTAAGCGGTTTATTTATTTATTTATTTTTCGGTTCTAAATTCGATTAGCAACAACGATGAGCGACCTCGCGCATATGTGGTGCTCACTCCAGGCCAATCCGCCACCGCAAAGGAGATCGCGCATTTCATCGATAATAAGGTCTCCGCGTTCAAGCGGATTACCGGTGGGGTTGTATTCCTCAATGCGATACCTAAAAATCCTTCGGGCAAGATTCTTCGTGTCAAATTGCGTGAACAAGCCAAAGCGGAGCTGAAGCCTGTCGCTAAGCTCTAGACTGGTACATTTTTATATATTTGATGACTTTTTTTTTTCTTCTGGAAATCCAGCAAATAGGTACAATGTATACCATAATTATTTATTTCTCCCCCCCCCCCCTGATTTGCAGTATTGCACAGGCGATCCGTCGATCCCTCGGATTGAAGAGACCTGGGGCGATTATTAACTGTTCGCATGAGTTCGTGTAGCCCAGAATAGCCGAGAAAGGGATCTTGCAGTGTGATTCGATGCATGAACGTGCTTAGCGCGGGGACCCATGCAGGCGCCAGCTGAATGCCATCTAGAGACGGAGTTATGTACGGAGTACAGTTGGTACATTTGTCATGATCGACACATGTTTCATTCGGATGGATACTTTGCGTTTAATCAGTATACTCCGTAGAGAGTAAGATGTCAATGGTCTAAGTGGCGTGTAGGAGGCAAGCTGAGTGGAGAGGGCTGGCTGGCCGTATTTATCCACTTTGAGTATACTTGGAGTCAAAAGACATTCGGCTTATTTTGTATTTTGGCTTTTCGATCTGTCAAGTAATTCTCATTCGCCTCTTTGCAATATACGAGATCCCGGTTGTCGGGCTCCTGGTTTTTTTTTTTTTTTTTTTTTTCCTTTTTTTTCGATGTACGCCAGAGCCCTATCTTGCAGATACATCCCGCTATGCTTCGATCTTCGATCACCCCCCCATAGCCTATTTCGGATATATTTCAATCTTTAACTCTTATATATAAACTGAAAAATGTCCCCCCTGCACACCGTCCCACTAGTTCCTTCCGCTCGCCTCCTCCCCGCTAAGTCCGCTTATAGTCTCGATTCAATACTGGTATCTGTGACTCGGTAAAACCCTTTGTCTGGCCTAGATTTACTTCCCCACACGCGCAGTCTTAAGTTGAGCTGTTCCCCCCTTTCGACAGGGGAGACAGTTTCAACATATTCTTTGTGAGTGGTGGACGTTATCCAACCCCAAATCCCGCCATGAACACTGTCGAACAAGCATACACCCATCTGTCGTGTGAGCTCCTGCAGTCGACTACCAAGCTTATTTTGCCAGTGACTAGCTTGGTCGGCTTTTTTCTTCTCGGCCTCATCATCCATCGGTATATCAAATATCGTCGGAGACAAGCATACATTCCTATCTCCGAATTCAAAGAGCAAGACTTCTGGCTCCAGTCTATCACCATGGAAAAAGGAAAAATCGTCTCACCGGGCTTGCTCGCTCCATCTGCATGCGATATTCTACAACCTTTATCGCATACAAGCCTTCTCCCAAGCAGTGGAACTCTCGCTGCACAGGCCAGACAACTGCAAAGCGAGGGATCCGCCATCGAGGCGAGCAGTCCTGCATTTCCACAGGCTTCTTTGCCTGCATCAGGCGAAGAGGTACAAAAGCGCAATGAATCGGTCCAACAAATGAGTGAGGAGGATGTCGAGGGAGGGCGTACTTGGAAGCGGGTTGTTGTTGAATACAGCTAGCTGGTCGCCTGTTTCATTTGACGGACTTGGGTGGTCTTTTTTCTTTACTGTATCTCAGACTGTGGCTCTGTGTTTACTGTGATCTTTGTTTTGCTGTTTCTTACGCCTTCTGTTATGCTTTTTATTATGCCTTTTATCATGTCTTTCTTTCTTATTCCCTCCCCTGCGTGTGTCTTTACTATTTCATGAATAATGTCTTTCCTTAGAGCGTGGGCTTGGATTGTCTCTTTCGGTCAAGCATTGCTTTGGGCGGCAGATTTCTTCAATTGTACATGATCAAATGTATGTAAATCACAAGTAAACGCCATAACTCCATTGCAATGAGACGGTTATCAAGACGGGTCATCCCGCAGGCTCGAAACCTTTGCAGCAAGCCCTGGGAAGGTCCAATGATTAAGCTCTTATACCGTTAGAGAAAGTTGCATGGTCTCGCCGACTTCCCATAAAATATACAGCCCTAGAATCGTAGTCCGGTCTGGGACCTGGCCTTGAGTGAACTGACTCAAATGTCGATGATACGCTTAATGAAGAACCACGAGAATGCTCACACAAATTACTCAGTCCCGTACGACTTGGGTTCGGAATCAGGTGGAGCAATGTATTGTTGAATCGTGATGCTTGGTGAAGCAACTCTTCGTCCTTTTTCCTTGTCGCATGCCATCTTGTTCGATGCGATCGGTGGCGGACCTAGAATGTATTAGCGACATGAGGTCCAAATATAGATCATACATAGGACGTACCATATGAGGGTATTCAAGAAAAGGTTGATCGCATTAAGATGCGACTCAAGCTTCGGTCGGTATTGGGTCAAGGACTCGCCTCTGAGGTCCCACATGATCCGCCGCCATTGTGTTTTAATTTGAGTAGTCAATTGGTGGGAGTTTAAGAAATTGACTAGGGGCCCATCATGTAATAATAATGAAGGTGTGGCCACTGTTGCCCGGTACTTGTCTGTCGCCCTTTCGAGATGTCCTAGGGCTTGGAGGCATGAACGGACCATAAACCCTAATCGTTGAGCAACGTTGGCAGTACCATCGTCCAGAGTATTGGAGTTCTTGGACAAGATGATTATTGAAGCTCTTTGCAACTGCGTCAGAGAACAATTCAGGCCGAATAAGACGTCTTCGAGCTCTTATAGATCGCGTGGTGCATTCTTCCGCCCCGTGGTTGCGGTAGTAAATAGTCTATAGGTGATTTGGCTGCAAAGTATAATGTCTCCAACTGAGAAAGCAAACGACATTCTGGCCGTCAAGTGATGTAGAAACAGCGAGAATAGGGAAAAAACAATAGTATAGCATATAGGGAGATATAGATAAGTTGTGGTATACTTGGGGGCTGTGGACCTCCCACTGAGAGTTAAACCCAAGATCCACCGTCCCCACCTGGAACCGGCTCTGCTATGGCTGAGTCATCTCGAAACTGCCCTCTACATCGACGCCACATGTTCAACCTGCAGCTACCGCACTTTCTGATTCCAAGTCGCAGTCATGACGGTAACCGCATTCCCCTCTGAGGGCTCTCCAGATCTCGCTCTTCTCAACGTCGCCCGCCTGTTCACCAGACTCGAGCACAATCTCCTCTCCCCGGGGACAGATCGACGCTCACTCCAACAATCAGAATACCAGCGTATGCGCGTGAACAAGGTAAGCATTTACTCCATATTTCCAAGCCTTGCTTTCAAAAGAAAATATATCAGAACCTCAATCTGACCAAAGCTCCAGAACGTCGAATACGCCCGCTCACTCCTTACTCAACTCGAGCGCTCCCTCCCACAAATCAAACCACTCGACCGCAAACATGAAGCCCAAGCCGAGATCGCGCGCGACAAACAGCTCTTGAAACGTATACAGACCCTTCTCGACGAGGAAGACACCAAAGCCGAAGCAAAGGAAGATGAAGACGACGAGACCGACGACGATGACGAATGGAAGGAGCTATTCTCCAAGCCCATCGCCGAGAAATCTATCTCGCCTGTATCCCAACCCAAAGACCAACAGAAACAAACTCAGCCATTAGATTCGCAACGAGAAGGAAAGGGAACGAGCGAAACGCAACAGACCACCAATTCATCCGTAACAGCATCTACAACCCAAACACCAACCCCCTCATCAACAAGCCAACCAACACCCCCAACCCTCCGCAATCGCCGTAAAACCCCCGCACTGCCCACTGAAAAAGCATCCGCGACTGGAAGCAATACGACCAAGCTCGCTGGAACAGAAACTGAACTGAGTACCCACAGAATGGAACAGGAAGATCTAACCAGTTCTCTTCTGACGCTCGCTTCGCAATTGAAATCCTCATCGCAGAGCTTCCAGTCGACGCTGGAGGGCGAGAAGTCTGCTTTGGACCGCGCGGTGTCGGGTATCGATCGCACGAGTACGACGATGGAGGCGGCGGGCAAGAGGATGGGGATGTTGCGCAAAATGACAGAGGGGAAGGGGCTGTGGGGACGGATGATGTTGTATGCATGGATTTTCGGACTATGGGTTGTTGCTATTCTGATTGTTTATGTTGGGCCGAAGTTGAGGTTTTGAGGGGTGATGACTTTTTCTACGCTAGTTTGATCCTATCTTTATGCGTCGATACCCATTTCGCTCTGCATAGATTATCTGTCTATACCTGTCTACATAATCACAACGCGATTGTCGATATCTACAATCTGGGAGCATACGAATATAAAAATACGAATCGAAAGCGATATAGAAACAATGTGGAATTAAGAGTCAGAACCTTAAGAGTCAATGAACTCTGAAATAACCCAACGACCGGCCTGGCATGACACATGAGAAGGAAACATTCAAATCCGCGGATCCTGCCATTTCCCCGTGCCCAATGCCCGGATGGACGCTCTTGGCTTCCAACGGACGCAAGACCAAGGAAAATGATGGGGGGATGAAGATATGGTTACATACATAAACAAGAAATGGGGGAGAGAGATGATAGGATATCCAGCATTCAAATCAGGGTTGGAAAAAAAGAAAGGAAATAGGAAAGAGAAAAAAAGAAGGGGAGACACTTGTTTTCTGTCGTGGATATCAGGAGTGACAATAGAAAACAGGAAACACAAAAACCGGCTAGAGATCGTGTCAAGACGGGGGAAATTAGAACAGAGAATAAGAAAAGGAAACGCAAAAGAGAATCAACGCCGGGATCTTGAAACGAGGCTTTTTTTGACCAGATCCGATCAGCCCCAGTTAATAAAAACATGCGATCTAGGTTCGACACACTTCCAGTAGGTTCATTAGATCAAACCGCAGAGACGAAGGTTCTCTTGGATGATGATATCTGTGAAACATTAGTCATATGTTGTGCAATAAGGGTTGGGCTGAGCTTACCGTTCACTGCTGCCATGACGAAACGAATCTGACTAGTGTCGGTAGCGCAAGTGAAGTGAGTGTAGATCTGCTTTTGCTCGGCCTGGTTCAGGGAAACGAAACGATTGAGGATGTAGTCGCAAGCCGCGGCGTAGTCGGCACCACCCTCGTAGTCGGGGAAGTAGTTCTTCATCGGGCTAACGGGGAGCTTCTCCTTGAAACGATCGATCTTGTTGAGGAAGAGAATGATAGAGGTCTTGACAAACCACCTGGAGTTGCAGATGGAGTCGAACAGGGTCAGGGCTTCTTGCATACGGTTGACGGTCTCGTCTTCGAAGAGAAGCTGGTCGTACTCGGAGATGGCGACGAGGAACAGAATGGTGGTGACGTTCTCGAAGCAGTGAATCCACTTCTTACGCTCGGATCGCTGACCACCAACGTCGAACATGCGGTATGTGAGGTCACCAATAATGAATGTGGTCTCGGTGATACCGGTGGTCTTGACACGGGAACGGAGGACATCCTGGTCGGTGGGGAGGTAGTCGGGCTGAGCAATGCGCTCAATGGAATCGAAGTAGCTAAGCGGGAACGAGTTAGCCATGTCGCAATGCGACCAGACGAACGGTCAATACTCACTATTTGGCAGAGTCGTTCAGCTGGTATTCGCGTGAGCGCTTGAAGCACTCCTGGACACCAGTGTCGCGCCAAAGTTGGCCAATGGCGTTTCCAACCTCCGGGGGAATGCTGTCGCCCTCGATCTGAGCGGGCTGCATGAAGATGGTCTGCACGTGGTACTCATGGCGTGCATCCTCGAGAGGGAGCTCGAGGGACTCCATGGCCTCGAGAATGACCCGCATCGACTGGACGGTGTTGCTGTAGATGATTTCTTTGAATGATTCACGCTCGTCGCGAGAGTATCCACCCTCGTGGATGAGCTTCATCTGCTTGAGAATCGTGGACTTGCCCGACTCTCCGGCTCCTGTATCCCAAGTCAGCCATTTGCCCATATTCCCACCAGGGGTCAAGGGATCATACCGAGGAGCAACATCTTGATCTCGTTTCTTTGCATCATTTTGTCGCGCTTGAGCTGGTTCTCAATCTCCTCGTTCCGCGCCTTCCCCTCCTTATCCTCGGTGCTCATGCCGCAACCCATTTTGACGGTATGAAGTCGCAATCAACGGTGTGAAAGTAGGTGAGAAAAAGGTTCTTGGTAGAGGGATATCTGTTACAGGGGCTGTCCAAGTCTGATCAACTGTCAGCAAGCTGGAATAATTTCATCCGAGGGAAATATCGCATTGATCTCGAGGGGGGCGTGGCATAGGTAGTACAAGCACCGCCGAGCAGAGGCAAACGGCGTTTCAGAGTGTAAGCATCCCGACGCAAGGAGTCGGAACCGAATTTACCAGAGCAAGCCAATTGACGAGATCAAAGGGGGGAAAAAGAGGAATACCCACCTGAACGTGCTTTTGCAAAAAAAAAATAATGAAGCGGCAAAAGGGTATAAATGAAAGAAAACGAAAAGAAAGGAAGCAGAAGAATTCGAATCGAATCCAATCTGGAGAAGAGAGAGAATAAAAAGTTCACCAGGTAAGGGGCAAGAGGGGGGAAATTGGGAAAGTTTCAGAGAAAGGGGATACACTAGAATTACACTTGAGGATTAGGGGAAAGTACGGCCTGAATACGCCGGACGTATGTTTTGATTACAAAAGATACAGAACAATACCCGGAGTCAGCTGATTGGGCGGTGTGGAGACTTGACTGGGGGCCCATTCAGCCCCTTTTGCTTTCGCGATTGTGTTCTACTCCGTACATCGGATTCTATGGTATCTATATATATGTTAGATCTGTGGAACATTCAGATGCTGACGCGCTATCTGGTATACAGAATAAAATATACCCTCCATGCATGTAAACATACGGAATCCTGGAGGCGTGCAGATCGTGTGGAGAGCATATCAAACTACAAACGAATCACATTTGAAGATGCAATGCTGGAAACACCGTTAAGAGTAGTCCGACTATTCAACTGGTCTAGGGAACCCCTGACATATTGCAACATGTATATCGTACTACACTCTATACTCCGTACCCACACGGTCGTTCCATATAGTCTGACGCCTGACCCCATCTCAGCAGGATCTCGTCTCGGCCGATTTCAGTCTGGAAGACATAAAGAAACAAAGCCAATGGCCAGAGCTCTTGCCCAATCAGACTAGTCTGCCCCTCATCTCATACATCCATGTCGAGTTTTTTGAGACTTCAAACTTCTTTTGAGGTACAATAGTACGGAGACCCCAACAGGTATCCGGCAGTCTGCACATCCGTGGATCCTCCGTTTTATCTCCAGTGGAGCCCACAGTCCACCTAAGCGACAATTTGAGAATGGCGAGACACCGACTGTCACACCTCCAATGTTGATACTCAGTCCCCACTAGTACGGAGTAGATCCAGCAAGTTATAATTGAAAAGGAGGTCAGTCAGCAGGGAACCCCGAAACAATATCAAAATCGGCTATAAAAAAAAAGGAGTGAAAGGGGGATTTCCTCTTTTCGCGCCTTCCATGGTTCTTCCTCAAGTTCTACACCGACCCACCAGCTAGTGCTAGCCGTTTTCTGCCGCCATTTTGCCGCTTTGTGTGAGGAGTTGATATTAGACTCCACTTATTTCCTCGTGGCAATGGAGACTATTGAAGTTCGCGTCTAAAAGTGAACTCTGAATTCCATTTCCCTCTGGAGGTCATTACTAATGAATACCAGTTACACCTCCAGTACAAGTATAATTTACCTGACTAACTGCGTAGATCATTCTCAAGGGTCCATTGTCCATCCACACTCATCTCGCCACTAGAATCGTGGCTTTATAGCTAATATTATACATATATATATTTTTTTCATACACATCTACATTTATACTAATCTAGTGTACTTCTAATGTTCCATTCTACCGAATCCCAATGGGGCCAAAATCTTGGATCCATCGATCGGGGAAACTACTAACCAAGGTTGAAAGAACCAAACTCAATCGATCTGATTTTTCGGGTATTCCCCACCCTTAAGAAGGTACCCTTCCCTTCCCCCCGTTTTAATCATCACAAACATGTCGCACGAAATGTCCCACATGGGCCCTCGGGGTATGTAAATACCTTAATTACTCCATACAATTACACTTGCTAACAGTATCAGCCTTCAACCACGACAACAGCAGCGACGCCGAGGCGGAGTACGATCGGCTCCGCGACCTCGCGCGCCAGGAAGCCTTCAAGCGCGGACAATGTTTCGGCCGGGTATGCGACCCAATTCCACTCGATTATCACAATCGCAACCGCATTCCTGGTTTCATCACCGCTAACACTCCCACCAGTCGAAGGAAGCCTACTCGAACGGGGATGGCGCCGGCGCCAAGCAACTCTCCGAGGAGGGAAAGGCCCACGGCCGTAAGATGGAGGAATATAACAGACAAGCGTCTGAGTTTATCTTCCGTGAGAATAATGCCGATGGGCGCGTCGAGGCCGATACCATCGATCTGCACGGACAGTTTGTCGAGGAGGCCGAGGAGATCCTGGAAGAACGGATCAAGTACGCCAAGTCGCACGGACAGAATCACCTTCATGTGTAAGTTGCCAGCACAGCAAACCCCAGGGAGAATGAAAACCTTGTGCGCTGGAATTTACGCGACTAATATATTGCGGTATAGGATTGTCGGCAAGGGAAACCACTCTGCGAATCATATCCAGAAAATCAAGCCGCGCGTCGAGCAGGTGTGCCGCGAATTGGGGCTGCAGTATGCCACCGAGGAAAACGCCGGTCGCATCTATGTCAACCTGACTGGTGGTGAGGCTGTTATGCCTCCATACAACGGTCACCAGGGCGGCTCGTCTGGGTACCCTGGCCACCAACAGGGATACCAGGGTCACCAACAAGGTCAACAACATGGCCACCAGCAGCAAGGACAGCAACAGCCCGACGAGCTCGAGGAGCTTGCCAAGAAGTTGTTGCCCAAGGTTCTGCGCAAGCTCGAGAAGGCTTGCTGTGTGGTTATGTGAGCTTATATTTCTGGTGTTTGGGACATACACGGACATACACATAGATGCATTGCGTTTGTGGGCATATTTGATGTTGACATTTTGCGCTTTTGATTTCTCGTTTCTAAATCATTTACCATCTACATACGTAGAGCTCAAGTCTGGGCTCAGCCTTGACACGACTTTTTATGGCAGAGATGTGGTTATACCCTTATATGAACATGGACATTGTTCTTAATGAAACTGCCATTTACTTTCGTGCTGCTGAGTACAACTCTGTCAACATTTTACACTCTCGAGACCATGTCAACATAAATCATATCATCGTGAACGCTCGTAGCTACATAGCCAAGTGTGAAAACAAGATAACTGGAACTGGGTATATCCAACAAAGACTCAACCTAAAATCATAGCAAAAGGACCAAAAAACACAACGCAACAACTAGCGTGCATTTGGATCGGACAGTGTCGACTCCACAATCTTCTCCACTATAGCACGCACCATCTGCCCGTCACCAGCTCCATTGATCCTCGGTGTGGCATCAATTACCTCAATCAACGCGAACGCCTGATCTCGCAGATCCGTGACCACCCGACTGGTATGCGCAAAGCTGCCCGTATTCTTCATATACTGCACCGCATAGCGCTTAACCTCCACATCCTTCGTATTTTGCTTCAGGATGTTAATCAGCTGGTGATTGGACGGGTTGGAGCGAATGCTATGAATAATCGGGAATGAGAATTTTCCCTCAGTGAGGTCCTCACAGAATCCCTTATTTTCCGTGTACACTGTATTCGAGAGGTTGAGGTAATCGTCGCAGATCTGGAAAATCAATCCCATGACATTAACCAAGGCAACACAGTCCTTGCCCGTTGTACTCTCTGCCTGCATGAGTTTCACCGCGAGACGGAAGAGCCCGCCTGTTTTATTGCCGACCATTTCCAGGTACTCGTCTTCCGTTGGACAGGTCAGCGTGTCGCGCCAGAAGAGATCCATTCCCTGGCCCCGGTGCAGATTCAGCATCTCCTGTACGTAGATGTTGATCGCGGCTGGGTTGTTGAGCTGCTGTACTTCTTGCAATGCGAGGAAATATACGTAATTTGCGGAGTTGATCGTTTGCGCCGTTCCAAAGATGTTGTGTGCGACGGGGATGCCGCGGCGGAGGACGGAGTTGTCTTCGACGTCGTCGATTCTAGCGCCCGCGCTGGTTAGCATCGGGATGGGGAGTGGGAGATAGGAAAGAGGTGTTGTGGGGGTTCAAACTCACAATAGCGATGATGTATGCAGCATCGTTACAACTTTGGTGATGATCGCCAGGCTTGCCGGCGGGACCTGCAGCCAGGCGTTGAAGGCGTGGATCAGTTGTCGGCGTATATCTTTCCCTGGGTGCTCGTGCACGTAGTCATAAGGGCCCATGAGGATCTTGTCATTCTTCGATGACCATGTTCCGTCCTTGTACTTGGTGCCGTCCACGCTGGACTTGTTACGACGATGTCCCGTTTTTGTCGGTTCTTCGTCCATTATTGACACCTTGCATCGGTGGGAGGGGCTCCTGCTGCCATTTGTTGCATTTGCTGAGCTTGTCCGGGGAGGAACTGGACTTGGTGGTGGGAAGGGCGTTGAATTCATGATTGTGGAGGGGAAGATGGAGGGGGTGAAGGCGGCAGAAATACATGAGGGAGCTACGGAGCTCCGGGGGTGAGGGGAGTCCCGGAGTTACGCGATAGTATGACATCAATAGCTTACAACATCCATGGATATGTTCGTATACAATAAGACTATAATATCCATGGATATCGTTAAAACGGCTATGCAAGATGTACATACACGTGGACATGGCGAGGTCAGGTGTCTAATATGGATGCCGAGGTTCATGACTAAGCGGGCTGCACCTCTGGGCAGGCCCTCAGCCCTCCAGGGCTGGATAGTACACCTAAGGGCTGACAAATGAGATATGTCAATTTTCAATGTTATTGATAAAAGAGAGCAGATGATTTGATAGGTCACAAGTAGTTTTTAGTAAATAATTCAAGGGATATAAGATATAATGTTCACTATAGCAACGGAGCATGGAGTAAGCAAGGTCAACATATGTGCGCTTGGATTTCCATGGGGAACCAGGTTTATAGGTAGGAGATAGCTATAATTAACATTAAAGTCGAATCTGACGCCAGGGTCGATCTAAAAAAAAAGAGCTAAGAGTTCCCCCGATGTGATGAGTTCCTTGGTTATTGACCAGTTGCCTGGGGCAACGGGTCTTTATTTACCGCCGAACCTTGGAAGGGCCCAACTGACCTCATCCACCCACACGGACCTTCTCCACTCACTCTTTGACCTTTCGTTTAAGAATGTTCATTTGCTTTTCTTTTTTTGATGGTTGAAATTCCATCTCGCATCTGATTTATCAATGGAGGCTCTATTAGCCCATTCGTTCGACTACCTCTCCTCATACGAACCTAGCAAGATCCGTAAAGGATTACGCCAGGTCGAGGGACTACTGGCACAGATATGTCTATCCAAACCTAAGCCTGTCTCGGACCGGAGATCACGCTCCCCCGATACCCAGCCCGTGCCAAAGACATTGGCAGACTTGCGAGATGATCCGGCATTTCGAGAATTTTCCAAATTGCAGGAAAGCTTTCAATGGAACAGTATGTCTTTTGAAATTTCTATCCCAGACTATGGCTGACCATATGCTTTAGTCGCTATGCGTCTAGTATCCTGCCTCGAACACCTTCTAGGCCGCGGAAGCAACGGTACAAATGATATGTTGATCGTCTGCACACTGGATCTAATCCAAGGCTCCCTCCTCCTCCATCGCGGCTCGCGCACCCTCTTCGCCCGCGAGATTTACATGAACCTCCTCCTCGACCTCCTCGACCCAATCAACTGTCCAGCCGTGCAATCAGCAACCCTTCTCACACTCGTCACAGCCCTCCTGGACTGTCCATCAAACACACGCACATTCGAGGACCTAGATGGCCTCCTCACCGTCACATCACTCTTCAAGCAGCGAGCCACGTCCCGCGAAGTCAAGCTCAAGCTCGTCGAGTTCCTCTACTTCTATCTGATGCCCGAGACCCTCACCCCGGCACCAATGTCTTCCCCGCTAGGCCTGCAGCGCAGCCCGAGCAAACTCTCCTCTGTCCCCTTCTCGCGCAGTGCGCACTCCGCCGCAGCAAGTGCTGCGAGTAAAACAAACCGGGATACCCGCACGACGGACGAGAAGCAGGCTCTTCTGGGGAGGTATCTCAATAATGTGGAGGACCTCGTAGAGGACCTGAAGGAGACCGCTCCATTTGGAGCGACGGTTTACTGAATGAATGGCGATGATTGATTCACTCACTGCTTGATGACCAAATATGCGCGATGTCCGCTGCAATTACTTGGTGTTTTTTTTTTCCCTTTTCCTCTCCACCCTTTTTTCAATCTTCTCTTCTCCCTACCTCTTTTTCTCTTCTTCACGTGCGTTTGACTTATGTTCCGTCCGGTACGGCAATTATGCGATTTCCTGGACTGATGTCTCGCCCTCTTTTGGCCTGTTTTTTGTGCTCTCTTTATTTTCTACTCCAATTCTGGAACCTTTGTCGACCTTTCTACCTAGTGTGCTCTCTCCCCGGGCTTTTCCTTGTCGCTTTCCTTGTCTCTTTAATGGTGACATGAATGTGTATGATTCTCCTCTGTGACTAAACTAAACTACCATATACTTCTGATGATCATCAACATTCTTTCGTAACTGTAGTTTTAAGGCCTAGACTTCGTAGACTCGGACTTAGGGCTATCAAGCTTCTCGGTTATTCCCGTTATTTTTCATACCTCTCCATCTACTTATATTTATAAATGAGTCATTCATGTGTGACTCATTGTAGCACGGACTGTATTGTATACCCCATGTTCGATGTTTAGAGTGGAGAAAAGTCAAAGTATTAGCGTGGAACGAGATCTATATATTCCCCGCAAACAACCCCGAAATATACAATCACCCTGACATCCAAAATGGCGACAATTCAGGAGTTGCTGGCTACAAAGCCTTCCGGGAACTCACAGCAAACGCAATATGTAGACACGGTAGAAGCATACGATAAATGGGCTGAGGTGGGTGCATATTACCATTTTCCATCACCATCTACATCCTATCTATTATATTCTATACAACATATGCACCCCATAAACCCAAACTAACACAATAACAGGTCTACAACACAGACGGAAACTTCCTCCAACGCCTCGACACAATCGAGATGCATTCCCTACTACCCCAATTCGTCGACCGAGTTAGCAAACGCTTCCAACCAGAGACCCAGGACACCGATACCAAGACCCGCCCCACCCTAGTAGATCTAGGCTGCGGCACCGGCCGCAACACAATCCAACTCCTCTCCGCACTATCTACAGCCAACAAAGCCAGTTCTTTTACCGTAATCGGACTAGATGCTTCGAGCGGGATGTTGGACGTAGCGCGGACTGCGACACGCGAGTATGCGAAAAGCGCAACGGAGACGGACGTTGAGCTCGGTATGCTTGACCTCCTTCAACCCGTATCAAGAACGCAGCTTCCGTCTTCGTTGTATGGAGAGGGTGCTGTGGGCGTGATATCTACGCTGGTGCTGGAACATATTCCGCTTGAACGGTTTTTTGCGGCTGCGGCGGGGATTATGAGGCCTGGTGGGTATTTGCTTGTGACGAATATGCATGCTGAGATGGGGACGAGGAGTCAGGCGGGGTTTACGGATGGGAGGGGGATTAAGATTCGGCCTACGAGTTATTGTCATGATATTCCTGATGTTTTGGATGCTGCTAGGGAGGCTGGGTTTGAGGTTGAGGAGGTTATTGGTGCTGGTGCGGATCGGGTTGTTGTTAGGGGGGTTGATGAGCAGTTGGGGGATGTTTTGGGGGCGAGGGCGAAGAAATGGGTTGGGGTTAGGGTTTGGTTTGGGGTTTGTTTTGTTAAAAGGGGTTGAGATAGGTCAATTGGGATAGATATTATTTTTTTCTAAATAAATGAGTCCAAGTTCAACGCCATGGTTTGCTGTTATACATTTAGAAGAATTTCAGTAATCTGTCGCGGTGTTGTACAAGATTGGGATGCTCTCTGAGCAGTTGTCCCAGCCGGTTCCGTTTCCAGCCTAGGCTATCGTCCAGGATCAGTTGCGTGTAGGCAAAGACGCTGGCATCGAAGAGGCCGGGGTTGGGTCGGCCGAAGAAGTGCTCGTCCTCGCCGAGCAAGGTGGATAGCGCCTCGAATGCGCCACCTGCATCGCCTTCCAGATCAGCGGCGTCGATGTAGCGCGATGTCTTGAGGAGCTCATCGCGGGCGGCCTGCTGGAGCTGGTGGCCTAGAGCGGCGCGCACGATTGAGTTTGAGGTTGTGGGGTTTACGTAGAGTCGGCGTGCGACGGCGTCGAAGTTCTCACTGTCTAGGTAAAGCATGTATAACTGGACACGGACACATCGGTCAGTTCCTTCGAGTTTAGGGGTTTCTTCTGAGGGAATCATTGGCCTACCCAAGCACTGCGTATCCGGTTGTCTAAAAGCGAAGCATACACCTCGAACCGCAGGTTCAATTGTTGTTCTTCCTCGCAGTGAACTTGTTCAATAGCCCACTTTTGGAGCTTGTGTGAAGGGATCGGATTCGAAGTGTCTGCCGGCAGTGAGGGACGGAGGAAAGGCAGCGAGCCAGTCGGCGATGCATGGTTGTTGGACGATGTGATCTCAAAGTCAATCCCTACGAATTTCAAGTATGCCTAGGACGAGACCGATCAGTAAGTATGGTTCCGACAGGGACGGCTACACGCATCCTTGCATGCGAGTATGCGAGTATAGATAGCACAAACCTGCCATTTGAGACATTGAGGATTGAATGAGGGTCGGCCATGTCGTGCGCCAGATGCGTCGGCAAACACGTACAGCTGGTTGACATTGTCATGCGGTCGAAGGCGTTGAGGGATCTCGTTGGGGGGATAGGTAGTCAACGGGAACTTGTCGAAGAGGCGCTTTAGAGGAGCGGGGATTGTAAAGAAAGGACTGGCATTGGACTCTTCTGGACTATCGGGGGCTTTGGGTGGCATTGTGGTGGTTGGAAGTCCAAAGTCGCCAAAGTCCCAAAAGTGTCCCGAAGTGCCGTCATCGAAACAATTCCGACGCGCCAAGCCCGAAAAGGAAGGCATTACCTTACCTAATACGTCCCAGGTACCGTACCTCCCCGCACCTCTTTTTTCGCCGTCCCCTTAAGAATAGCCTGAACTTGCGATCTATGGCCTCGGATCATATGTATTCGGTATCTTAGTGCTTATTTCATATCTCATGGTATTGGTGTTGCGATCACATTAGTCCGGTCTCTCCCGCTTCTTGAAGAAACCAAAACCTCCACTTCGCTCCGTCTTGACTCCACCTTTCACTCCGATCTGCCCTCTCTCGAACGACCTTTTGACAATACGCGCATACATATGGCTTAGTTTGTCGTCCAAATACGAGGCGTCTCACGGACCTAACGGAATCGGGCGATTGCATGCGCGGGGTATCGACTAAATATTGTGGTTCTGCGACACGGTTGCGACATTACGAATCAATCTTGCGTCTCACCTTAACTTTGACGGAATCATACATATCTCGTCGCCAACATGCCTCTCGACGAAGAAGGTGCCAAGTGGTCCTGGTAGGAATATATCGTGTATTGTCAATGAAACCGGGCTAAACAGTTACCCTAGTGAACCATGCATTCGAGGTCACCGATCGTCAAAATGCCAACACTTCGATAGACTCATGATGAAGGTCCCTAAAGCAGGCCGTCCTCTGGCAAAATGTCCCCACCCGAAAGGAACTTGCAGCTGCCAGAAGACATATGCCGTGATGGTCCGCATTCCGAAAGGTAGAGATATCTTTACCAGTAAATTATCACGCATGTGTTTGCGTTGTACTGACTTGCTTCAGGCTCATCATGCTTATGTCGACCGCTTTATAAAGTCCCCATGGATGCCAATGACTCAACTCAGTCTCCCCCATCCTCCATGGTTTCCACATCGTCACCAGCTCCGGGCAAGGTTCAAAAGTCTGGAAGAAGACAGAGTACTATGCAAGCAGCACCTGAAAACATAGCACGGGCATTAGAAAATATGCCAGACAAGGTTAAGCTCGAAGATGGAACGCCAAACTTGATTTCAGACTTCTCTTCACAGCCCGGGTTAAATGGTTCACGCGCATCTCCCACTACATCTACACAAAACAAAAAGACGCCATCGCCCGCAGAACCTACCAGACAAGACTCGCAGTCTCCCCAAGTATCAAGCTGCTGCTCTCAAAAGACAAAGCCAAAGCCACCTACCCCAACCCCCGCTCCCACGGCGGCTGTTGCTCCGCCCCAGAATGGTGGATCTTGTTGTGGAGCGTCTCGCCCTTCCACAAATCAAGCTGTGTACACTGAGGCTGACCAGCAGCAGTTCCAACAACCTATGGCTTGGGGTGATCAAAGTTATATGCAATTCCCCATACCCCAAATGTCCCCATGGCAAAATTCCTCAATTCCCACGCATGGAGACTACATGCATTCCTCCATGCATCAAGCACATCCCCAACACCCAAGCCTTCATAATGGGTACATGGGAATGATGCTGGCACACTCTCAGCCCCAAATACCGCCAACAGGGATGTCATACGGTGTCACATCGCCACCGTCCATGGCGTACTCCAACCCGATGAGCGGTCTTGGAATCACGCAGCCCTCTACGGGTCCATACATGCTCGATAACATCGAGCCTTCGTACAATGCCCCACCAAGCGGCGATCCTTGTCACGATTGTAAATGCGGAGAAGACTGCCAGTGCCTTGGTTGCGCTGCTCATCCATTCAACACCACAACACGGCAGCATGTCCAAGAGATGGGTGCCATCATCACCTCCAACGGCGATGATAAGAACCCGGAAGTCATCAACCCTTACCAAGCCTCACCTTACCAGGGAGGCACCCCTTCGACCCCATTCCCTTACTTCATGCAAAGCACTCCTTCGATGGACCATGGCTTCCAGCCAATTCCATTTGATAGCTACTCGGACCCAAATTCCACACTACCCAGCGGTTACTCCTCCCCTCTGTCGGCAAATCACCAGCTGAACCAGCAGTTGATGCATCCTTCGGAGTATTATACGCTGGAATACCCAGTCGGGCTACCAAGCGCCTGTTCTGACATGACGGGCAGCTGCCAATGTGGCAGCGACTGCAGCTGTGTCGGCTGTCTCACACACAGCGGCCACAACGGTCTTTCTCTAGACTTGCCTAACCCCGAGCATTCCACTTCCCACACAGCGGACAAGCAAACCCAACCTTCGCGCCATGTTCCCCACACAAGTTCCGCTGCATCTCAATCTTCGCGGATTCCAGTATTAGACAATGTGTCTGTGCCCTGCCTCAGTCCGCGCACTTTGGAGACTTCCATGATCTAGATGATCTATGGCTTGATGATTTTTTACCATTTTCTTTCTCCCCTCTTTTTTTTTTTCCCGCGTTGATTTTGATCTTGCATGATTTATGATCTCCCATGATACCCTATCTAAAATCTCTGCTCTAGACGGCCACAGTAATAGAATACCTGTTTGAATGTCGTTGATTGGGTCAAATTGTCCCCGCTATTCGAGTTATTTGTTTCTTATTGACCTGTGTAGTGTGCTGTGTATTATTGCTTTACTCGTAATCCATACCTGCAACGCAGGTGTTGGGGTAAAAGCCAGAGACACCGAGTCACTATTGCCAACCCCAAAAACCCTGATGGGGACATGAATTTTCCTTGTATTTCCATTTATCTTACTTTGAAATCAATATGATGATCATCAATGCATTGGGGGATATCATAATTCTTAAACAAAAGATAGTATACAAAGGACAGTTACCCACAAAACCCCAATCAACCCTTATTCCACTTTCCAAACTTCACATAGTCATCATAGAGCGATTTGAACACCGCACGACCAGAGACATCCAGCGCAGCGTTAAGCGCACGCATAGACTCACGCGACGTGACATCCAGAGCCGCATACAGACCAGGCAAGATAGCAGCCTTCACCTCGGGGGACAGCGATCCACGCAGCGAGCACTGCGCATACTCCATAACAACATACTGCAAGTACTGGCCAGCAATGCGCCTCGCCTTCTTCGTCTGATCAGTCAGGGCCTCACGGGATGCACCAGGCTGGGGACGAAGAACCGCCGAGACGGTAGGGTCGCACAGCGAGGTGAGCAGACGGGTGTAGTAGGTCGCGTGTGAGGCGTCGAGTGGGGCGAGCCAGAAGGGCTGCGAGAGAGTTGGCTGGAAGCGGGAGCGGCCACGTTTTCGGGACCGCGCGAAGAGACAGCTCAGTAGACGCTGCATGGCGTTCACCACTAGGTGGAAGCGGCCGCCGATCTTGAGGCGTTGCAGGCTGAGGACGACGCCCATTAGTCGGCACAGGCGGGTATAGATTGTTGGTGCGTAGTCTGGGGAGATCTGGGGGCCGATTTTGGAGGAGGCGCTTGCGATCGCGCCGAGGATGCTGTCGATGTTGCATTGGGTGAGGCTGCGGGTGTGGCTGCGGAGGAGGAGATCTAGGCATTCGGAGGCGAAGCAGAATTGGTCGATGCTTGTGCTTTGGACGATGGCTTCAGAGAGGGACGTGCAGAGCAGGGAGATCTCGCGTGCTGTGGCGCTCTCTTTGTCTTCGACGGGTGGGAGCGAGGAAACGGCGAGGTAGAGCACGAGGAGTCTGTAGCCGGCGTTTTCGCCAATCAAGCCGAGTCCACGGACTTCGCAGATCGTTTGGGTGATTTTTTCCACGGTCATGGAGCGGAAGCGTTCGGTGGTGGTCCGGATAAAGAGCTGCTGGTCCTCGGCATAGAGAGACTGCAGGGCAAGGGTCTCGGCACATTGCAGGACTGGCTGAGCGATGTTTTCCTCGGGTCCCTTGCTGGCAAGAAGACGGCGTCGAATTAATCGGGATGGTTCCGGATCAACGGTCATTTCCATGTAATTGTCGATTTTGGACAGGAATTTCTCCACTTCAGCGTTGTTGGTGGCTAGATCTTCGAAATCCTCTAGAGCATCGATGGTCTTGATAATGGTAATTGTCTCCTCCATCTTCTGCTTCCTGCACTGGTCTTTGACATGCTTCATGTCGGCCAAGACGAAGTCAAACACTTTCTGGCGACAGGCGGCAAGTTCCTTCTCGGAGAAGGCTGTCTCCAGTTGCTTGCGGTGGACCCAGAGCTCTGACAAAGTCAACCTCAAAAGGTAACAGGCCATGGAATCACGATCCACCTGGTTCATTTTAGCGGTTTGCTTCGATGCCCGGGAAAATAGTTTTTTGAACATCTTGTTCCGGTCATCATCAGACACAACCAGGAGCTTGGCCGATATCGCGCGATGCAGGCTTCGGAATGCTTTCATGATCTGGAGATCGAGGTCGGTACCTTCCAACGGTACGGCTCGAGCAGCAGTCCAGATCGGCTCCCAGTCACTGGTCAGTGCGGCATCACATTTGGGCATGGCAGCCAGTTTCGCCATCATCGTAATCATTCCGATTGTGACTTCGGGAGAACTGTCCTGTTGAAGTAAAACATTTTGCAACTTGTTCAAAATGGTTGTCCTCAGACCCCGAGTGATTAATGGGGCCGGAACCCTCTGCAAGCTCTCGATAAGCAGCTTGCGGTTGGAGGAGTCCTGCTCAATGCTCTCGTTGAGTAGAAGGGCAAGATCGGAGACAATGAAGGGAGCATTGAGCATATATTCGTGGCAGACCACGCTCGCCCAGGCCTGGAGGAACTTTGCTTCTGCTGCAACAGCCTCCAACGGCAACGACGACGATTGGTGTTGAGCAGCTGCCAGGGAAAGAATATGACGGAACAGACGGGATCGATCCTCAGAAGAGATAAGAGCCCAGACTTCCGGAACCCTAACAAGAGCCAGGAAGTAAGCAAGGCCAAGGGTTGTTTTGGAATCCACAGTATCTGTGCGGCCATTCCAGGGCGCCTTCATCGACTTTTTGGCATCCTTGGTTGAGATGGAGGTGATGAGTTCTATGACATCCTTGGTGGCTTTAACAAATGAGTTTAGTTGCTCATCATTGGCGTGTGCCTTGGTTGCAACAATTGAAAACCGGTAAGCCTCCCAGGATTCGAGAGGAGCGAGCTGAACTTTGGTCAGGTCCTTGTGGTTCCTATGAATAGTCTTGGCGGCGACTTCTACCAATGGCATGATGGCACTTGCCATGGTATTGTCGGCTGACTGTAGGGTGTTTTCTAGGCAATTGCGAACCAAGCGCCACAGACGCCATCTCCAGTGCAGAGCCTGCTTCGATGACAGAGTAGAGGTGATGGTTTCAAAGAGAGATTTCAAGGTTTCTTCCGATTCCGGGAATGTTGAGACTCGGCCACGGAAGCTTGCCTCCACAATAACAAATTTGGCGTAAGACTGAGGGGTATCAGCAACCTTGCCATTCTCAGCTCGTGTCTCGCTAGCAGCGGTACGCATCTGGGCAGCAATATGCGCCTCAGTGAGGGAGGTTCGCATCAGCTCCGAGTAAGCGTCCGCCAACTCATCATCTTCCCAAACCGAGAACAGACTCAAATTGCTGTTATCTTGGCGAGCCTCCTCCACAATAACGAGTTGGCTGTGCCAAATTTCCATGAAGTTGGGCAGGTCTCTTGCGGCAGCGAAACCTCGCACTAAAGGCAGCACAACCTTGTTCTTGATAATTTCGTATTCCTTCCGTTTCCGGGAACCACTTTCGCGCCACTGTAGCAGAACCTTGTCGAGCAATGCATCAAGAAGCTTACGTGAATCACGCAAACCGGAGTTTGGCAAGAAAATATCAACACCAAGACTGATAAACAGAGCAGTCACATTCCACTGAACCTTTTCAAGGCCTTGTTCGAAAAGACCGGTATAATTGGCATGCGCTAGAATGGTGTGAAGAGAAAGACCAACATTTCGGTCGAGAGCTACTTGGAGGAGGTGCTCCAATACCGAGATAAACTTGGAAGAAAAGGTAGCAAAGTCTTCCTCCTTTGCAGTAGAGAACGCTAGCTCCGCAACAGCGACGAACAAAGTCTCCAACCACGGAGCTTCATGTGTCTGCCTCCGGAACACATCTCTAGGAACAGCACGCACAGCGTTGTCAAATAGCTCAGGAAGAAGCTCCACTGATCGCCAAGGATGCATGCAAGCTTCATTGCTTGCTTTGTTTTCCTTGGCCACAGCAAACTCGCGAATGATCGGCCGGAAAGTATCAGTCACTGGTTTGACCGAGCTCCAATCGGGCTCATCCTGAGAATAATCGATGCCAGAGCTTCCACGCTCGAAGAATGCTGCACGAGCGGGAAGTAAGACATGAAGGGCAATAATGCGTTCAATCGCATGCAGGAGTGTGGCTCGCTCGTCGGTGTCAAGTTTGGCAGATCGCAGGCAAATCTGGAGTCTGAGTGCGTGAGCGAAGCAATGTCTCGCGAAAAATTCATTGCTGGATTTGTTGTCCATATCATCTTCACGGTAAGACCTCGATTCCCACAGTTCCACTGCCGCGGGGAACACGTACAGCAGGTGTTGAAGATCGGTTGTTTTCCCCTCCTGCGAGAACTGCTTGGCGGCCACGGCGGCCACGCGGAATGCGCGACCCAGCAGCATAGCGATGGCTTCGGGCTCGCCTCTCAGCGCAAGCTTCAAATGAGAGTTTGCCACCCCATCAGTGCCAGTTGTGCGGTGCGTAAGTGTCACAAATCCGTGAAGACAATCCAAGGCGCGGATGAAGGCGAGGAAGCATGCTGCGGGATTCTGACGCTGCTCATCCACGTCCACATCCATGGCGTCTGCATCATTCTCAGTTGTCATTCTCTTGCGTTTTTTCCCTTGGTTTCCTCGGAGATCATCGTGTGTCGGGGATCCAGACAGCGTGTGACTGGAATCGGAGTCAGAGCTTAGGATTGCAAGCCCGTTCCCCAAACCGGAAAAGATATCAGCCTCCAAATCTTCGAATGTATCACATAGAATCGATAGGAATTTCTGATCTTTAAGAATAGCAGCGAGGTTCTTGGGCGAAATCAGGTCGATTAGCTGTCGTAATAAGAGGAACGAAGCCGCGTCCACTCTATAGTTCTTCCCACTTCTCAGTCTCTTCAATAGCCATCGCAGGACCCATTCCTCCTTCGGGGTAGCGTTTGTTTGGATCTTATGATCTTGGTGGACTTCTGGGTGACTTTCACATAGTGTCAAATCCACACCGATAATCTGTGCCGCTTCGTGAATCTGGGTTGTCGGACTGGCGGTGCCCTTCTCGAGGCGGAGTAGCGCCTCTTGCGATGAGCGCGGACGCTGTAGAAGCGCAACACATTAGATCCCGGAAAAAAGACATAGAGTATTTCCAGATAACATTTGACTTACCTCCGCAATCAACGGCATCTCGAAAAAAGCAAATTATTC